CTGAACCTTGAATTGCCTCAGGTTCTCAACTTTTCCCCATTGAAATCTGAAGCTCGGAAATGTTAATGGGATGAGTGTGTCAAAAAACTCGCAGAGAGCAGAGGTGCACCAGTTAACAAAGGGGCATTCGTATCAGCAGAGGATTAGGCCTGTTATCTGAACAGAATAATTTATATGGTGTTTGCAAGCCATAAATTTAGATGTGGACTCTAACTTACAGTTTATAATCTATTTTTCATTACTTATTTCCGTCTGTGAAATATTTTCTCTCTGAAGTGGATATTTCCTTGCCTTGGTTTTACCCAGTACGGCGGATAAAATAATCATTATCTGTTATGCAGAGTCATATACTTGTCCTGCAGCTTAACTGAAGATGCTTTGAATTTTTTGGAAGAAAGGCACAAGGGAAAATGCAAAGTATTTGTATAACAGAGAAGCACGTGGTCTCTAACAGGCCTATTCAAGTCTTTATTTAAAGAAGTGGAAAACAAAACTGAAACCTGATTTAGGTAGATTTTAGTGCTTAATGGCCCCTCTGTTTTATAGTTGAAGCAATATGAGAAATAGTATAGGAAACATAATTGTCTTACGTGTCTTCACTAAATGAAGACTTCTGAGGGTGCTTTTATTTCTGTGACACTAGACCCAAGTTATTCTCCCCCTACGGCATATGAATTTGAGGATAATTTTGGCCCTATTTTAGTTTACGCTTCATTCTTATAGATGTGTTTCTCTGAAATACTTGGTAGCAAATAGAGATGTCTGGATTGGATTGTACAACAGGATGGAATAGCTGCTGGGCAAGGGCTGTATAGCTTTTGTGGTCTAGACAGCTACAGATCTAACGCTTCCTGGTCCGTGTTTTATTTCTTCCTGTTTCCAGGCAGGTGTGGTTGATGTGGATGGCCGTTTGGTGCGGGAAGAGGATGGACGGGATTTTGGGACTAGAACTGCTCCTTTTTCATCCAGGCGTGGTGGGAAGAAGAAATCCGGGAAAAGCAATGAGCCGCCCAAGTGAGTTTAGTAGCCAGACAGCTCTCCCTTTCCTCTGATAATGTGTCATCGCAGCGACTGGTTCTGGTCAAGGTGTGACAGGCAGCCCGTGGAGGAAGGCAGAGACGAAGCCGGCTTAACGGGTGTGTGGGAGTTTTGTGTTTCCTCAAGGACGACATTCCAGCATAGTGCTGCAAGGGTTTGTGGTGTCCTTGTGGCCACCAGCAACACCATCAGGAGGATGTTAGGGGAACGCGTGTGGCTGGCAGGCACAGCCTGTGGTAGGGTAGACCTCTATTACGGGGAAGATTTACTGCGAACGGTTCATCTCTGGGTCTGTTACGGATGAACCAAGACCACGGAGTGCTGCGGAGGGTGTGAGCTGTAGACACAGAGGGTGGACGGGCTTTGAGCTGAAGAGCTTTGCAGCCAGCCCAGACAGGGTTAGCCTGTGACGAGAGGTGGAGAGCTGAACACGCAGGCAGGGGAACAGTCCTGTGATGGCGTCAGAAGACATGTTAAACCTGCAGTTTTTCTTTAAAGTGTTAGGTAGAAGGAGATCTGCTAAGTGGAAAGGGAGGAAGGGACAGCGGACAGAGGAGCAGATAAGGAGAAGGGATTTTGAGAGGGAAGGGGGAACCAGCAATCAGTACTGAGCAGAGAAAGATCCTTCAATTTATAGAAGTGAGGTCCCTGCATTGGCAGTTTCTACAACTACTTCTGTGGCCGAGAGCATCAGCTCGGTTCCTCCCTGACATTTCCCTGAAGTCCTTGTGTTAGAGAGGAGGGGAACCACCAAGGCTTTAGTATCCACATGACACGGGAGACTCCTCTGTGCAGTTTTTTTTTTAGGGAGATGGAAGGAGATCTGGCAAGCACTTTTCTGTGTCTCTTTCAAGTCACACTATCCCCTGCAGACAAGGCTGGCGGTGTTTGTGGAGGTGAGCTGAGGGAGAAGAACAGAGAGCTGGGCTTGATTTAGATGTGGTGTTAGATCAAATCCTAGGGCGTTCAGTTTGTAGGTTTCTCTGAGGGTAAAGAGGGTTATCCCGTCTGCAGGTGTGCCTCAATCCAGACAGGGTGGGACTGTTGTCCTTGTGATCCTTCTCAAGAGAGCTAGTCCAGCCTGGGCCACGTTCTATAGTATTTGCCACACAAGGCCGTCCCTCTACTCTAGGAAGTAAGGATTTGTGAGAACAAGGCTGATCTTATTCCTTGCCAGTAGATTATTTCACTGCAACATCAGACTGCTAGTTTTTGAATCGGCAAAGCTAGCACCTGCAGCATGTTTGGGTTTCAGTTTCCCATTGTGAAGAAATTACTCTGGTTCATCTTTTTCCCCCTGTCAGGAAGGAAGGAATCAGGAGCTCTCGGAGAGATCTGGATGTTTTCTTACCATCAAAAAGTCAGGTAATAATTTCCACCAAGGATCCGGATGTGAAAGAGGGAGCAAGGAACCAGGATACAGCAAATATTGATGCAGAGCTCTCAAAGCCAGCTCCCGTGGAGGACTCCCAGCGGCCCAGGTAAGCTTTCCCTGTATGGGAGTAAACCACCTTTGCCAGAGGGTGGTTTAGACCGGAGTGATTGCATTGTGTTCCCCTAGTACAACTACCTGCTTCAAAGTAAAGAGGAGAGATTCGGAGATCTTCATTGCTTGGATGCAGAAATACATTGTAGGACAGCAGTGGTTGTATGGACACCCTTTATACCGAAGTGCGTTGGTGGCGGTCATCTTCTCCATCTGCTTTGAGCTCTGTCCTGATCAGTTGCTCTATTAAGTGTGAAGTCTCTGAAAATCGCAGCACTCTGCGCCCTTTGGTTAGTAGTAGAAGTGCAGAGAGACCTCATGTCCAGCCACAAAACCCCAGAGAGTCATGAAAATGGGTCGATAGCTGCACAAGATCATGGCAGGAGGTGCCGTATCAAGACAGAAGAGTGGAGAGCGGCCAAAAATGCAGCAATGTGCCAGTCATCTGCTTGTACCACGACAAGAATTTAGCATGGGAGGGCAGCACTGAATTGCATTTCATTGTGCACGTGCCCCTGTACTCGGCCCTGGTGAGGCCGCACCTCGAACACTGTGTTCAGTTTTGGGCCCCTCACGACAAGAAGGACGTCGAGGTGCTGGAGCGTGTCCAGAGAAGGGCAACGAGGCTGGTGAGGGGTCTGGAGAACAAGTCTGCTGAGGAGCGGCTGAGGGAGCTGGGGTTGTTCAGCCTGGAGAAAAGGAGGCTGAGGGGAGACCTCATCGCTCTCTACAGCCACCTGACAGGAGGTTGTAGCGAGGGGGGGGTCGGTCTCTTCTCCCATGACCTTTTTAAAAAAGATTTGGACATGAGGAAAAATTTCTTTACTGAAAGAGGCGTTAAACATTGGAACAGGCTGCCCAGGGAAGTGGTGGAGTCACCATCCCTGGAAGTATTTAAAAGACGGGTAGATGAGGCGCTGAGGGACATGGTTTAGTGAGCATGGGGGTGTTGGGTCAACGGTTGGACTCAATGATCTTAGAGGTCTTTTCCAACCTTCAATCAATTCTATGATTCTGTGATTCTGTGATTTCGGATGGAGTTGATGGGGTAAAAAATGCTAAGGCTACCAAGGCCGAGGACTCCTTCCAGGAGGATGCACTCAACAGCATGAAGCTGTTCAACTCAGAGGAGCTCAGCCAGGACCCCACACAAACCAGTGTGGACACCACGTTTCCCATCACCAGCCAGCTTTTCTTGCTGAAAGCTCTCAAGCTGCAAGCGCCGCAGCTCTGAAGTCTTATGAGCACCTCCATTGCCTGAGTTGTCCAGTCCTTGCTTGTTCCTGCCGCCCAGGGGGAGCATCGCAGTGAAGCTGTCCCAGGAGAATTTACTCCTAAAGCACCTTAACATGTTATCGTGTTCCTCCATGCCCTCTGCATGCGTTTTAGTATTCCTAAAAGTCCTGTGGCTGGCAGGGAAGGCTGCTGCTGCAGCTGCATAAGGCACAACCCAGAGTGCTTAGCGGCTCAGTAGCTGGCCGTCAAAGCTGTAGCTGTGGCAGTCTGCCCAGTGGCCATTGTTTACAGCGCTTTGCCAGCAGTTTGGCATGGGAAGCGGTCTCACGCAGCCTTTGAGGAGTTTGAAAAATGCCCTTAAGAGGTCAATCAGGGGCAGGCAGTAGTCAGAGTTTTGCTTTGACCGGTCTGGACTGAAGAATGTGGAGACTTCTAGCCACCTTCTGCTAGCAGATCCAGCCTGCTCACCAAGAACAACCTTACGCAGCACAGAGCAGCATCCGTGGGAGTGTGATGTTCTCTTGAGGGCCTCTCCTTTTGCCCAGTGTGGTTTGTGTTGAAGTAAGAGCTGGTGGTTCCTGGGGGCACGTTTGCATCGGAGCCATTTCATAGAAAAGGCAGGATTGACACATGCCACTTCGAATTCAGTCTTTCTAAATAGGCAAGACTTAAAAGCCATGGGCGGCAGCGTTGTAGAGCCGGCCAACACACGCAGCGATGGGGTTTGGTTGGCAGAGGTGACCGGTCTGTGCTGGGAATCCAGCGAGGAAAGAACAAAGGCGTTTCTGCTTAACAATGGGGAGGAACAGTATTCGTTATTCTTCTGAAAATTCAGACCATTAAAGGTCCACTTTCCAGGGAAGACTCAACTCTGAGGCATCTCCTGAGGAATGTCGTTTCTACGTAAATAACTCTTTCTTCTGGGAGTAGTACTGGGGGAAAGTGGGTATGAAGGTTGGCACAGAGACAGTACCAGGGTGCAGCTAGCACGACGAGATCCTCAAAGAGCCCATTGAAATACCAGCCACAAACCTCAGCTATGGCCACTCCCATGAACTGTCATGCTGCAGGGCAGAACAAACTGACCTCCCCATGTCTGTGTCTCTTTTCTTTGAATTCTGTTGCAGCTCCCCTCCATCCAAGCCAGTGGCATTTGAGCAGTTTAAGGAGGAGTGCGGAAGTGAGATCAGCCGGATCTTTAAAGAGAACAAAAGCATCCTCCTTGCCAGGAAGAAGAGAAGCAGTACCGTAGCGCAGAGGATCAACTTCATCAAGCGTGAAATGGAGGGCATCAAAAAGGCTCTGGAGGCTCAGAAGCAGGAGCGGTGGCAGCAGGGTAAGTCGCTGTGTGGAGACTGGCCAGCGAGAACCTGACAGAAGAGGGGAGCCGCTGGTTCCAAAGCAGTTCTGGTGGTGAGACCGCCAGACCACCACTGGCCAGCAGTACCGTAGCGCAGAGGATCAACTTCATCAAGCGTGAAATGGAGGGCATCAAAAAGGCTCTGGAGGCTCAGAAGCAGGAGCGGTGGCAGCAGGGTAAGTCGCTGTGTGGAGACTGGCCAGCGAGAACCTGACAGAAGAGGGGAGCCGCTGGTTCCAAAGCAGTTCTGGTGGTGAGACCGCCAGCCCACCACTGCCGCTTGCCAGGCCAGCGGGGCAGGCCGGGCTTTACGCCCTAGCTCTGCAGCTGGCCTTGTGGTTTGCCACCTGAGTCCTCCACCTGAGTCCTCCACACTTCAGCCTCATCGAGTCGGCGCTGCTCAGGCTTTACGCTAGTGAGGTGAGCTGCAGTCAGGTTGATTCCTCTGCCCACGCTTTGATGGATCAGGCAGCGTACTGCTGACAAATGCAGGTCAGCGCAGTGCAGAAATCACGGGTAGCAGGCTTGCCCTTACTGTGGTGGAGATGTACTGCATCTCCTACAGCTTGATTTCATCTAGATTAGGGTCTGGATTATGAAAGTCAAAATCCCAAACTGCAAGGTACTAGAGGGGAAAAAAAAAGGGGGCAAGTGCCTTCCCACTTTGCTGCGGCAAGATGTTCGTTAGGTGGAATATGCCTGGGTGAGAGTAGGAAGCGTGTCAGGTTTCGTGCTCCTTGCAGCAGGGCTCCCAAGAGTCGGTGCTGTTGCGTTCTGCAGAGGAGCAGAGAAGAAACACTTCTGGGCAAGGAGAGAAATCTGAAACAAATGGCTTTAATAGCAGAGTGGTCTAGAGTGCTCTGCGTGTGATGGCGAGGAAGTAGCGGTGGTGTTCCTTGCATGCAGGGAGGACAGCAAAACAACTCAGGTCTGTGAAACTACAGCCTTAGCTATTGCCAGGCAATTAGCGGGAAATAAGAGGGAACGAGAGAGAAAGAGAATGGTCACCAGCAACCGGACCCTGGCTAGTGAATGAGGGCCAGAGAGTCAGACCCAGCGTGAATGCTGCTCTGCCGGTTTCCGTTTCTCTTCCTACGGAGAGACTTTTATGACCACGCTTTGCAAGGGGCCTTTTCCCATAGGGTCTGATCCTGCAAGATGCAAAGCTCTTTCGGCTAAATGATGAGCAAATCAGCTTGAATCCATATCGAAGTGAGGGTCTGTCTTTTCATGGGCTCTTTGCTTCTTTTGGGCCTTTGCTCTTTGTGATGACATCTACCAACGGGTGGTTTATTGTGGATGCTGGAAACCACAGGAATAAACTGATTTGAGGGAAACCAAGAACAAGAGATGTTTATCACAGGGAAGTACCTCTGGCTTAACTGTCCCCAGAGGGCTGACCAGCCCTTTGTCTCAAAAACCCTTGCCATGGCTGCCCAGGGAGTTTTTCAGTAGGAGCCATAAAAGCCCTAAGTGATACCCTCCAGCAGGCTGTCACCTGGGTGTCTTTCTGCGGAGCCTGGTCCCTCCTCTTCGTCTGCACGTGTCCCAGTTTGGGGAGGACTGATGTCTGAGCGGGTTCAGGAGTTCAGCGGTGATTTCTGCCCCACACCACTCCAACACTGTATTTGTAGAAAGCATGTCTAAGGAAATGTCAGTTGTGTGGTTAACCTCAGTATAACTGGGTAACTACCGTGTGGTTCGAAGCATAATGACTGTTCTTCGTCCCTCTCCACCCTCGTGAGAAACCTTCGTTTCCTTTTCTTACCCTCCAGGAGAGTACGTTGATGAGAAAGGACAGATCATAATTGATGAGGAGGAGTTTTTACTCATCGTGAAGCTGAAAGACCTGAAGGAAGAGTACAGGTCCGGTTATGCTGAACTGCAGGACCTGAAGGCAGAAATCCAGTACTGCCAGCATCTGGTGGACCAGTGCCGGAACAAACTCATCTCAGGTACTGGCTCGCCAGGGCAGTTTCTGAACAGCCTCCAGTTTAGCTGGGAGGCTTGATAGCAGCTCAGTACTGAAGCATTTCACAGACATGTTGCATATAAGCCAAGTCCATCATCCTCTGTTGTCATTTTTCTTGTTGCCTTCCAGGCTTGTTTTTCATTGACGATTGGTTTGGTTTGGTTTTTTTTTTTTTTGACATAACGCTGAATTGCTGCAGGTTCTCTCTCACAGATAATGACGTACTGCTCCTTGGTCATGCCACTAGACGCAATGCTGTGGGTAAAAGCCTTTCACAATGAAGTTGACAATAATGCTCCCACTGTTGGCCCTGGTTCTCACCCTCGATTTCATTTAATAGAGGTGGTGGCTAAAGAACTGCACTGGGCCGGGGCTCTGGATTGCAGATGCCTCCCCTGTACCGCTGTGAGATCAGCATTACTCGGGTTCCAGTGCTGCAGCACGGGCGCCTTGGCAGGAAGCAGAGCTTGGTCATTTTAGCGTGTTCTTCACAAGAACCACCCTCGTGGTGACGAGTCACACCTCTGCTCAGGGTGATCCGTGCAAATTCCGTGGTGTGCTCCGCCGCAAGCCGCTCAGTTTGAGTCTGGGGTAACGGGAGCACAGTCCTGCTGTATCCCCAGATTTGTCCTGTGTGATGGAAGACAGTAGGTGTACGACTGCCAGAGTCCCAAACGTTTGGATGCTGCGCGCATGGCAACACTTTATTTTCGACAAACTCGCCAGAGCACAACTTGTATCCATCAGTGCATCCCACGCTGAAAGAAATGCATGGCTCGTTCCAGGAGATGATGGACAGGGCCAAATCGTAATTGTGCAGAAACTTTGCCACTGGTTTGTGCTGGATCCGGGTTTGGCATTTTTTTGGGTGCTCCCGATGTTTGCTCTTTGTTTAAACGTGCAGGCGCGGACTCATTCGATATCTGTGTCATCCCAGAGCGAAGAGGTCATCTCGGAGCTAAAACCAGGGTAAAAAGTCAGTGGCGTCGCATCGTGTCCGCAGCGCCTAGCAAGAGCGGGGCTCTGCGCTTAACCTTCTTTATCCCTCGTGACTCCCACGACGGAAAGCAGCTCCGTTCCTGGGGCCCCTCCTGGGCAGCACAGCCTTCTTCGGGGGCTGTGGGCTCTCCCGCTCCATGGGGAAACGTGCCAGAGGAACGGAGCAGAGCACAGCCGCTTGGCAGCAGGCATCGGGGGAAATGCCCAGTATTAATAAGGACCGAATTCCTACTGCATCGCAGCACCTGCTGT